ACCGACTGCCTCAACGAGCTTTGTTTTGTAGTGTAGGAATAGGTTGGAAGAAAGTTAGGGGTGGCCAAACCAAAACATGACACTATTCCATGGAGTCACTGACGAGTGGGCTGGGAATGTCAGTAGGTGTCGACTACCTGGCTGGGGTCTGCGAGATGATAATAATCATTCGTTAGAGACCCTGAATGACATGTCTCAAAATCGTTTGCAATGGCGCCGGTGCATTTATTCTTTGTGTTCTCTCAAATCCTAATCTTCTGGGTTCTTTAACATCTCTACTTTTGTCTTTCTAAACATATCTCACTGAAACAAACTTCTTGAATTATATCTTGTAATCTTAACCCCTCCGATTCTTCTAATACCTTTACTACCTCTTCTACTATTGGATTTGAATTGACAATTACATCTCTGTGCTGATGTGGTATGGCAACATGAACTGATGTACTTACGTACGAAGTTCTACGTTGCATCTGACTGACTGATTAAGAGCTAAACAAGTACACACAACTATCATTACAAAAGATTTTTTTTCATCATGAAAGTTTATTACAGTAAAATCTATTATAATCCACTTGTGTTAGTGGAAATAATGTGGAACTGTGTTAAATAAGTTGATTAGTAAATAATAAAAAGTTATGGTTAATACATTTTTAGCATAAATTCAATATAATATAACTAATTCATAAGAATGATATTCTACTCATTCAAAATGAATTGTACATAATATGCTAGCTAAGCATACAACTTGATATCGAACTTATAAGCCACAATGATCACTTTGGCTGAAGTAGATGAGACAACAGTATCAGTTAAACTCGTCTACTCAGTTAATTAAACTGAAGAAAACAGGTTGTTATTATTATCAATGATTTATATGCCAGTAAACTTAGTTCTCATCAGGATAATTTCGCAAAGATATTCAAAGGATGCAGCTAGATAGAATTATTTCATTTTGAGACGAAAATCTCTACCCTAACGAAATGATATAGTCAGTCAGTCAGTCAGTCAGTCATTCAGATGCAACGTAGAACTTCGTACGTACGTATGTACATCAGTTCATGTTGCCATACCACATCAGCACAGAGATGTAACTGTCAATTCAAATCCAATAGTGGAAGAGGTAGTAAGGAAATTAGAAGTAATCGGAGAGGTTAGGATGAGAAGATATTATTCAAGAAGTGTGATTAAATGAGAAAAGTTTAGAAAGTCAAAACTAGAGGTGTTGAAGAATTCAGAAGATTAGGATTTCAGCGAACACAAAGAATAAATGTACCGGCTCCATTGAGAACGATTTTGAGCCATGTCATTCAAGGTCTCTAACCATCGATTATTATCATCTCGCGGACCCCAACCAGGTAGTCGACAATCACCGACATGGCTAAGTCCACTCGTCAATGACTTCATGGATTTCTGCGATGTTTTGGTTTGGCCGCCCCTAACTTTCTTCCAACCTATTCCCACACTACAAAACAAAGCTCGACGAGGCAGTCGGTGGTTGGGCACACGCAACACATGTCCCAACCAAAATAAATGTCTATTTTGAGTGGTTTCGTAATACACACTAAGCCCTGGAGAAATAACTAGTCATATTCATATTCGTTCGGTAAAGCAGTATACTTCATACAGAGAGAAATCTTTGAGGTCATCACTTTCCAGGATTGTGTGTCAAAAAGCTCTTTTTCCCAGTACAATATATTTCCTTCTACTAAAGATGCCTCCACTACGTAGACATGATCTCACTGTAGAAACACCGATTTTTCTTATTTTGATTGATTTGGAATGAACAGATTTGAGAGTGAAGGGAGAATACAATGTACTTGTTAAGATATTCTATACTGAGGATTTATATAGTACAATAAACGTTTATTAATAAATAAGCCGACTGTTACTGTCATCAGTACAAATGATAGTCAGTTTCAAAACCAGACTATTATGTTGAGACATGTGTTACGTATTCCTAACCAACCACCGACTGCCTGCCTCATCGAGCTATGTTTTGTGGTCCAGGTCGAAAACCAGCTTGGTTTTCTCTAGTCTGTTCTTCACGAGCTCTAGTTAGACGTCTAAGTATAATCGAGGCTAACAATTTAGAAACTATATTAGTTAGACTCGATTATACTTAGACGTCTAACTAGAGCTCGTGAAGAACAGACTAGAGAAAACCAGTCTGGTTTTCGACCTGGACCACAAAACATAGCTCGATGAGGCAGGCAGTCGGTGGTTGGTTAGGAATACGTAACACATGTCTCAACATAATAGTCTGGTTTTGAAACTGACTATCATTTGTACTGATGACAGTAACAGTCGGCTTATTTATTAATAAACGTTTATTGTACTATATAAATCCTCAGTATAGAATATCTTAACAAGTACATTGTATTCTCCCTTCACTCTCAAATCTGTTCATTCCAAATCAATCAAAATAAGAAAAATCGGTGTTTCTACAGTGAGATCATGTCTACGTAGTGGAGGCATCTTTAGTAGAAGGAAATATATTGTACTGGGAAAAAGAGCTTTTTGACACACAATCCTGGAAAGTGATGACCTCAAAGATTTCTCTCTGTATGAAGTATACTGCTTTACCGAACGAATATGAATATGACTAGTTATTTCTCCAGGGCTTAGTGTGTATTACGAAACCACTCAAAATAGACATTTATTTTGGTTGGGACATGTGTTGCGTGTGCCCAACCACCGACTGCCTCGTCGAGCTTTGTTTTGTAGTGTGGGAATAGGTTGGAAGAAAGTTAGGGGCGGCCAAACCAAAACATCGCAGAAATCCATGAAGTCATTGACGAGTGGACTTAGCCATGTCGGTGATTGTCGACTACCTGGTTGGGGTCCGCGAGATGATAATAATCGATGGTTAGAGACCTTGAATGACATGGCTCAAAATCGTTCTCAATGGAGCCGGTACATTTATTCCTTGTGTTCTCTCAAATCCTAATCTTCTGGATTCTTCAACACCTCTAGTTTTGACTTTCTAAACTTTTCTCATTTAATCACACTTCTTGAATAATATCTTCTCATCCTAACCTCTCCGATTACTTCTAATTTCCTTACTACCTCTTCCACTATTGGATTTGAATTGACAGTTACATCTCTGTGCTGATGTGGTATGGCAACATGAACTGATGTACATACGTACGTACGAAGTTCTACGTTGCATCTGAATGACTGACTGACTGACTGACTGACTATATCATTTCGTTAGGGTAGAGATTTTCGTCTCAAAATGAAATAATTCTATCTAGCTGCATCCTTTGAATATCTTTGCGAAATTATCCTGATGAGAACTAAGTTTACTGGCATATAAATCATTGATAATAATAACAACCTGTTTTCTTCAGTTTAATTAACTGAGTAGACGAGTTTAACTGATACTGTTGTCTCATCTACTTCAGCCAAAGTGATCATTGTGGCTTATAAGTTCGATATCAAGTTGTATGCTTAGCTAGCATATTATGTACAATTCATTTTGAATGAGTAGAATATCATTCTTATGAATTAGTTATATTATATTGAATTTATGCTAAAAATGTATTAACCATAACTTTTTATTATTTACTAATCAACTTATTTAACACAGTTCCACATTATTTCCACTAACACAAGTGGATTATAATAGATTTTACTGTAATAAACTTTCATGATGAAAAAAATCTTTTGTAATGATAGTTGTGTGTACTTGTTTAGCTCTTAATCAGTCAGTCAGATGCAACGTAGAACTTCGTACGTAAGTACATCAGTTCATGTTGCCATACCACATCAGCACAGAGATGTAATTGTCAATTCAAATCCAATAGTAGAAGAGGTAGTAAAGGTATTAGAAGTAATCGGAGGGGTTAAGATTACAAGATATAATTCAAGAAGTTTGTTTCAGTGAGATATGTTTAGAAAGACAAAAGTAGAGATGTTAAAGAACCCAGAAGATTAGGATTTGAGAGAACACAAAGAATAAATGCACCGGCGCCATTGCAAACGATTTTGAGACATGTCATTCAAGGTCTCTAACCATCGATTATTATCATCTCGCGGACCCCAACCAGGTAGTCGACAACTACCGACATGGCTAAGTCCACTTGTCAATGACTTCATGGATTTGTGTCATGTTTTGGTTTGGCCACCCCTAACTTTCTTCCAACCTATTCCTACACTACAAAACAAAGCTCGTTGAGGCAGTCGGTGGTTAGGAATACGCAACACATGTCCCAACCACCTCAATTGATGAAGTTTCATTACTTCATCTATTGATCTTCTATTCTTACCTAGCACCCGTTTCCTAATGACAGTTGTGTAGAGAAGAGAGGTATGTGTGGTTGTAGGAAGGATTTGATTTCGACCAATTTGGTCTCGTGTGCTGGTACGGGTATTAGGGCGGTTGTCACTTCCCGGCTGCCCACACCGTGGAAGGTTGTTTCTTGAGGGACCTGAAAAGGAAGATAGATTAGTGTTGGTCTTAGAGACCTGGGAGCGCAACCGCAGAGTCCAAGGGACAACTGCTTGAGGCCGGTCACGCACGGCCTCTTTATGAAAGGTCTCTGAAGATTAGCTCCGCTTTTAAAGGCGCTTAGTGTGCACCCTTACTGACGGAAACGGAAACCCGTGAGGCAAGGTGAGGTGTGACATTTTTAGGGTCGACCTTTTCTAACCCTTCCTTCCTTGTGAGAAGGCAGCATCGCTGCAGATTCTGGTTATCTGAGGTAAACACCTTACTGCTGTCACACCCCTCTACAGTAGTCAGCAGTACGACTTCGCCTTCAGACCTTGGGTAGCTGCTTTTAGTCTGTTCGTTCTCCAATCGACCTGCTTGGCATGATAGAACTTTCAGGAACATACGTTCCAGCCAGTCATCACGATAGGCAAGCCTGACCACCATCACGTGTCAATGTAGCAGCTACGGTCTGGAATTAATTAATTAATCATACCTTCAAAACAGATTTTTATTGCTATTCCTATTCCTATTATTATTATTATGACTACTTGTTTTTTTTTATTAGCTGAAGAAATCGATAAATATTTTCCATCGAAACCAATAGTTCGAACAAATAAGCAGAGTACAACATGTGGTTCAGAAAACAAATCTGGTTTAACATTAGCACTAGAACAAGCTAAACTAAGTGGACAATTAAAACGGAATAAACTATTCTCAGATTATGCTATCTATGATGCACGATCAACACTCAATACCAACCGATCTAATTCAAATAATTGCTTTCTCGATACAAATATAGATCCTTCTTTGCGTCAATTCAATGTTTGGCTTTGGAGGCTAAATGGTTTTCCTCGGATATCAATTAAAGTACAACCACGATTAGGTACTACAGTGCAACAGTTTATGGGACTTACTTTATGGCAATATTTTAATGAGTTTTCAACATCCGATAGTGGTGATTCGACACTTACGCCAAGTCTTTTAAATAATTTAGACGAGTAAGTTCTCTAGCCACAGAATGCTATTTAATTCTTATCAGTGTATCTAACGACATACATGATTGTGGTTTTTCTGCCCTAATTATTTGTTATGTGTTTGTTCCACTTACCACCCCGAATAACTATATATATATATGCGACTTTTTCGAAACACATCTCATTAGTCAGAGTTATCATTTACGGCACACTCAGCAACGGGATATCAAGATTTTCATTGGGTAACAAATAATCCCAATCGTACGTAAAATTTATCTTCGAGATCACAAGAAAACCAAAAAAGGTTAGTACGAATAAGTGCAACTAACAGAATGCCTGCCTGTTTTTATTTTGTTTTATTTGGACACAAACGTTGGTACAAAGCGGAATCAAAATATATATGCGTCATATAAATAACTGATGTACTACTTGAATGTTCCAACCGAAGCAAATGGTTTTTTTAGGGGGGCCATTCTCCTATACTTTGACCAACAAGTCTTGTGCATAGGACAATGGAGCAACGTCAGTTACAGTCCCATGATAGCCAGTATGACCTACAGTAGGTTCATACGCTATTCGTTCCACCAAGATCCTGAAGCCCATGTGTACTGTTGGTTTGAAATCAGGGTTTTTCGACTCACCTCGATGGATCCTCCGTTTCCATCAACTAGTTTAAAGCACCGGCTAGGCTTTGACTTTTCGTCGTCTCGATTTGATGAGCAATACCCAAACTACAAGAAGGCAGTAAATAAGACTTCCTCGGTAGTGGCTATATACATATGGCCCAAAGGGCAAAAGCTTGAGCCCGGTCACTCACGGCTTTTTTATGAGAAGTTCTTGAACTATTAGCTCCATTCTTGTTTAGAAGGTTTTACAGCCGCAGACAGAAATCCGTGAAGTAAAGTGAAGTGTGACATTTTTAGAGTCGATCTTTCTTAACTGCTTCCTTTCTTGTGAGAAGGCAGCATCACTGCAGATACTGGTTGTCCGAGAGAAACACCTTACTACTGTCACACCCCTCCTCCATCACAGTCAGCAGTACGACTTCGCCGTGAGACCTTGAGCAGCTGCTTTTAGTCTCATCATTCTTCAGTCTGCCTGCCTGGCTTGGTAGGACCTACAGGCATCAGCCAATATATCTCAATTGGGTCATCACGATAGACAAGCCCGACCACCGTGTCAAGGTAGCAGCTACGGTCGGGTCTTAGACAATACAACATGGAAATAAAAATTTTTGATATTGAATTCTGTTTTAAGTCACGTTAAGTATATGAATGTGTGGTAATGCTGTTGCACGATTGCTCAAAACTAACTATAATTGGATTGGAATTCATTGTTCTTCGTGTTTTCTTTTTCTTCACTAACTCCATTTTACTTTGCTATACTCTGATGGATTAGTTGTACACATAAGCTAGTTTCCACATTACATACAGTCGGAATTCTTTACTTCAAGTGGTGTCCATCACGGATGTCCACTCTCTCCATTCTTGTTTAATTTTATCATAGACATGCTCCTAGAAATAACCTTATCCTCGACTGAATTTTCAGGAGTAGACCTTATACCAGGTGGCTCGCTTATTGACTTAGAATATGCCGATGACTTGGTGAAGACGCTGACAAAATGCAGTCTTCTGACTACCCTAAGCAACAATGCAAGCATGTTCGGGATGCGGTATTCCTCCTCAAAATGCAAAATGTTGCTTCAAGATTGGCTTGCGACGGCACCTGAACTAGTAATAGGGAGTGAAGAAGTCGAGCGTGTTGACCGTCTCATCAGTGCTGATGGCCTGGTGACTGACAAAATCTCAGCTCGGATACAGAATGCTCGATTGGCTTTTGCCAACCTGCGTCACTAATGGCGTAGGCGAGATATCCGTCTGCTGACTGAAGGACGAGTGTACTGTGCAGTAGTTCGCTCCGTCTTACTTTATGGCTGTGAAACGGCCAGTGAGAGTAGAAGATATTCGTAGGTCGCTAGTATTCGATCATCGATGTCTCCAAAGCATTGCTCGTATATCGTGGGACAACCGAATAAGAAATGCTGTCGTTAGGAAATGAGTACTAGGTAAGAATGGCAGATCAATAGAGGAAGTGGTGAAACTTCATCAGTTGAGGTGGTTGGGACATGTGTTGCGTATGCCTAACCACCGACTGCCTCAACGAGCTTTTTTTTGTAGTGTAGGAATAGGTTGGAAGAAAGTTAGGGGTGGCCAAACCAAAACATGGCATAAATCCATGAAGTCATTGACGAGTGGACTTAGCCATGTCGGTAATTGTCGACTACCTGGTTGGGGTCCGCGAGATGATAATAATCGATGGTTAGAGACCTTGAATGCCATGGCTGAAAACTGTTTGCAATGGCGCCGGTGCATTTATTCTTTGTGTTCTCTCAAATCGTAATCTTCTGGATCCTTCAACACCTCTAGTTTTGTCTTTCTAAACATATCTCACTGAATCACACTTCTTGAATAATATCTTCGAATCGTAAGCTCTCTGATTACTTCTAATACCCTTACTACCTCTTCTACTATTGGATTTGAATTGACAATTACATTTATGTGCTAATGTGGTATGGCAACATGAACTGATGTACTTACGTACGTACGAAGTTCTACGTTGCATCTGACTGACTGACTAACTGACTGACTGACATTACATACAACTAAACTATCTGATTGACTACTACTGATCTTATCTTTTCCGCGCGATATTTTTCTTTTATTTCTTTATCAATTTAGATCATTTTTAAATCGTTTAGCATTACACATGTTTGACACATTAGATGATAATAATGAATGTGACAATGAAGAAGATGTTGATTCCGAGTTTCCACCACTTGAATTAACTGATCCAATTCATAAATATCAATTTCAATCATTTGCTCTTGTTGAACGAGTGGAAACACCATTAGAAGAAGTTTCGAAAGAGGAAATTTCACGTGTATTAGTCACAATGTAAGTGAATGTGTTTTTTGTATGTGTGTGTGTATGTATGTTGTAGGATTTAATTTGTCCTTACAGATGTAATTCTACAACGGTAAACGCAACATTGGCAAGCACAGAGTCTATGGGAAAGCTATGGAGTCAGAACAAGACCAATTTTTGCTTTAAACTTTATCTGTTTCTAAACATAAAAACACAATTAGATTAGTACAATAAATAAGGAAATTACAATTATCATCAAGTAAGACGAGCGAACGTACCGACCAATATAGCGTGTCTTATGGAAATGAGTACAGTTATGAGTCACATCAGTATAATAAGATAATAATGTCAATCAATTTGTAGGTCATTTACAACAAAGTTTACAGACATGTCAGATCAGATCACGTGGTGGGCGCTTAAACCACAATTTGATTGGTTAGTTATGAAAATAACTAACATATGTATATATATAACTACATATGTACATATATGTATATATACTTTATGGCTGTGATTATGGCCCGTCGGAGTAGGAGATATTCGTAGGTTACTGATTTTCGATCATAGGTATCTCCGAAACATTGCTTTTATATGTTGGGACACTATTGATCAAGCAATGTTGTTGTTAGGAAACGGGTACTAGGTATATGGATGGCAGATCAATAATAGATGAAGTATTGAAACTTCATTAGTTGAGGTGGCTGGGATATGTGTTACGAATATCCAACCATTTGTCTGCTGCCTTGACGAACTATGTTTTGTGGTGTAGGCGTAGGTTGGAGGAGTCAAATCGCAGGCCATTAAAATGGCGAGCTCTACTTTGAATTAAGGGCAATCACTAAAAGGTGAAGGTTACGTAACTGCAAAATAATTATTGGTTAGCCAAAAGATATAGGCTATTGAGTAGTTGCATGGTCTTTAACTATCCGCTTAAAGAGAGATTCGGTGGGCTAACAAATTCCCACTCTCCTATCTATCTTTCCCATAACACTGTCATATTATTCGATTTGATAACTGTATTGTACATTCATCCATCTATTAAGACAGCAAATTTGCATTTTTTATCAGTTGAAAAGTTCCTAAGTTATTGATTAAAGCCGCTTATGAAATTACAATACCTAAATTTCACCTCAGTCGTGCAATAGTGTTATCTTTAAGGAGAAAAATGACCGATGTTTACTTACTTACGTGGAATTGATTTCGGTCTGAATATTGCTTTCTTTTATTAAGACAAGAAAACTTTGTTAATATCGTTTATAAAATTCTCTACAATTACTACCTTTCATACCTCTTTATCTCTCTCTCTCTATATATATAGACATATGGCTCAAGGTATGAGTGTACTTCGATTCCCATCGGATACTTGTTTAAGTACAGTGCTAGAACGTGCTGTACATCGTCGACGTTTACGTCAACATGGTGGTTATGCTTATCGATTGGAATTGTGGCCAAGAAGCACAGATCAACAGAATATGACTAATATAAAAGGCAACAACTTGATGATTACACAATCAGTGAATAAAAATTGTCAATTAGATTTAAATAAACCATTGAGTTATTTTATCGCTGCTGGTTTACCGTTACACTTTCTTCTTGTTCGTGAAAACAGTAAGTGTTGAATCTTTAAAATCTATGTATATATATATATATATATATATATATATATATATATATATATGTACAAATATTACTGTTTTAATGTTGTTTACTGTCTAACATTCCTCGGACATGAGTCAGTCAGTCAGTCAGTCAGTTACAATGTAGAACTTCGTACATCAGTACATAAGTTCAAGTTGCCATACCGCATCTGCACAAAGACTCAATTGTCAATTCAAATCACATAGTGGTAACTATAGTAGAAGTATTAGCAGTAATGGAGAAAATTAGGGTTCGAAGATATATGATTCAAGAAGTATAATTCAGTGAGATAAATTTGGAAAGCGAAATGGATAATTCAAAGGATCAGGATTTAAAAGAGAACACAATGAATGAATGCACCTGCGCTATTGCAAACGATTTTGAGCCATGTCATTCAGAGTCTCTAACCACCGATTATTCTCTCACGGACCCCAACCAGGTAGCCTGCATCTACCAACATGACTCAGTCCACTTGTCAATGACTTCATGGATTTGTGACATGTTTTGGTTTGGCTTTCCGTAACTTTCTTCCAACCTACACCTACAACGTAAAAAACAGCTCGTCGAGGTATTCGGTGGTTGCACATTCGTCCCAACCACCTCAACTGATGAAGTTTCAATACTTCATCAATTGATTGGCCATCCTTACCTAGGACCCGTTTCCTGACTATAGCATTGCTTGCTCGGCTGTCCCAGGATATACGAAGACATCTATAATCGAATACTAATAACCTATGAATGTCCACTACTCTTAACGGCCATGTTTCGCATCCATATTGTAAGACGGAGTGAAATGTTGCACAGTACAACACGTCCTTTGTTTAGCAAACGTATATCTCGCCTACGCCATAAGTGACGCAGATTGGCAAAAGCCAATCGAGCATTCTGTATCCGTGCTGAGATTTCGTCAGTCACCAGGCCATCAGCACTGATGAGACTCCCAAGATAAGTGAATCGGTCTACACGCTCAACTACTTCACTCCCTATCACTAGTTCAGGTGCCGACTTCGCTCTTCATGTCCAGAGCCAGATGGAACGACTTTGCGAGTGTATATCAGTTCGGTGCACGCTACTGAAATCCATAGCTTCATCCTAACCTTATGGTGTTTACCTTGCTAACATATATCACTGTCGTCTCCTCAACTTTCTGGTCATCATACTAAGCTGTCGCAGGATGGGAATCACTTACATGACCGCCTAACTGTTTTTCTAGTTTCTTTCGAAATATCATTATGTACAACCCTGAGAGGTTTCTTTGCTGTGTCTTTCTACATCCAGTAAGCCAAAAAACCAATAAGCGCTCTCACTAGGGTATGATCTGACTCTAATCATGTCCCCCCATCGGACATGATACTTTACATTTATTAATCCAAAAGTAGAACATCATTGGAAATCGAACAAGAATATACTTTAAAATTCTCAACTTCAAAATATACTGACTTACTTACCTGCTTATGCCTGTTACCCTAGTGGAGAGCTCACCAGCATTCTCCCACCTTCTTTGTGTCCCCGGTCTTCCTTTCTGATTCCATCCAATTTTTGTTCATTCTTCTGATGCCTGTCTCCGTTTCTCGGCGTAATATGTTTCTTGGCCTTTCTCTTTTACGTTGGCTTTGAGGATTCCAAGTGAGGAGTTATCTTGTGATGCAGTCCGGTGCTTTCTGTAATGTGTGGCATATTCACTTCCAGTGCTTCTTCCTGATTTCCTCCCCCTCTGGAATCTGGTTTGTTCTTTCCCATAATAGGTTTTTTTGATGGTGTCTGCTCAAGACGTGTCTGGTGAAGACGTTGACAAAATGCAGTCTTCTGACCACCCTAAGCAACAATGCAAGCATGTTTGGGATGCGGTTTTCCCCCTCGAAATGCAAAATTTTGCTTCAAGATTGGCTTGCGACGGCACCTAAATTTGTGATAGGGAGTGAAGTAGTTGAGCTTGTCGACCGCTTCACTTATCTGGGGAGTCTCATCAGTGCTGATAGCCTGGTGACTGACGAAACCTCAGCAGAGATACAGAAAGCTCGATTGGCTTTTGTCAACTTGCGTCACCTAGGGCGCTAACCGAAGGACGTGTATACTGCGCGGTTGTTCGCTCTGTCCTACCTTATGGCTGTGGAACGTAGCCAGTGAGAGTAGAGGATATTCGTCGGTTATTGGTTTTCGATCATAGGTGTCTTCGAAGCATTGATCGTATATCGTGGGACACCCGAGTGAGCAACGCTGTTATTAGGGAGACGGGTGCTAGGTAAGAATGGCAGATCAATAGATGAAGTGCTGAAACTTGATCAGTTGAGGTGGTTGGGACATGTGCTACGTATGCCTAACCACCGACTTCCTCGACGAGCTTTGTTTTATAGTGTAGGAGTAGGTTGGAAGAAAGCTAGGGTGCGGTCAGACCAAAACATGATAGAAATCCATGAAGTCACTGACAAGTGGACTGAGTCATGTAGGTAGATGCAGACTACCTGCTTGGCGGCTGCGAGACGAAAGTCACCGATCGTTAGAGACTTTGTAGGACATGGCTGAAAATCGTTTGTAATGGCGCAGGTGCACCTATTCTTTGTGTTCTCTCAAATTCTAATTTTTTGAATTCCTCATAACTTTCCATTTTGAATATTATTTTCGAACCTTAATCTCTCCAAATATTGCTATTATCTTGACGATCTCTAAACTATGGGATTTGGATCGATAATTACTTCTCTGTGGTAATATGGTATGGGAACTTGAACTGATATACGTACGTGCGTGGTTCTACGTTGTAGCTGCATGAGTTGATCGATCCACGATCCTGTGCATCCTTCTCCAATTTTTCGCCGATGGGCACTACTTCACACTTAGTAGCAATGAACTCCACTGGTCACAATTTCTCACTGAAACTTGGAGAAACTTTCACACACACACATTTAGTCACTGCCAATGAGTTCCGTACTAGGACGATACCACCGTTCATTGCTTCCAGGTTTCTGTTGATGTTCGATGATCTCGATTCATGATTCCATTGAAACTCAACACAATCTCCACAATTCTATGTTACAAATAATCATTGAGAATTGTGATGAAGCGAGATAATAAAATGAAATGAAGAAAATGTTGAGTGTCCGCTTGAGAAATGTTAAAGAATAAATAAATTTAAGTCATGCAAGTCATAATAATTATAATAGTAATTAGTTAGAATTAAAAAGATTATGCTGGGCATGTTAGATCCCCAAAATTCGCTTGATAAATGCCTTATTTTCCTTTTCATGTTTCCCAACATGGCCTGATCAGTTGACCTTGATGTTTTATTTCCCACCAGGAAAATCCATGGCTGTGATTGGCTGTTGTGTATTTTAGTGTGCTTTTTTCTTAACTGCCTCAAGGACGTTTCTATGTAGTATAAATAAGCGAGAGTTGTATGTTTGATTGTACTGTGATTGCTGGATGTTTGTAGAATATACTTTCTACGCTTACAAAGCTCTTTTTACTCGCTTCGGGGATTCAAGGTATGGCAACATGAACTTACGTACATACGTACGAAGTTCTACGTTGCAACTGACTGACTGACTGACCTGGACGCTGGTAAAAGTCTGGTTCGCGTTTATCGACTAAGGTAAACTCGTAATAGCCTCAAGCATACTTAGTGACGAACCCTACAGATTAACAATATCAAATGAATGTATTCAACTAATAAGATTAGCGTTCGTTAATGAAAATAATGTATTTTTTAGTATCATGAAAGAATGAACGATAATTTGCTCCATGAGTCTTTTTGCACAAATCGATAATCTAAAGACCAACCAACCTAAATGTCTATCATCCAGACCTCTCTATCCTCCGTTATTTATACTCATTGAAATCACCAATCAGTCCTGGTATGGATGGGGCTTACCAGTGGCAGTGTGCATCCACGACTCCTGCAAGATTCGAACCCAGGATATATTTGGTCTTGCATGTGAACACTTAAGCCCCCTGGACCACTTTACTGACCAGCATCCAACGTTGTTCATCTTTAATTCTGATCAATCTAAGGATTTTGCACAACCTCACCGATTGTCTTTTGTAGGAGGTGACTGTGTACACCGGACAGGATTGAACTCCACTGGTCACGTACGTTCTTTAACTTCTGCTATTATTATCACTATGACACTATGTACAATCTTTGTTCCTTCATTGTTTTTTTATTTAGGTCGTTATGATACAATTTTCCCAGATCAAAATGATGATATCGAATCAAGCAAACCGTTAGAATCCACACCGTTACCATTAGATACAACATTAGAACCAGTTCGTACAGCTTTACAATTGAGACAATATCAAGTGACTTACTTAAAAGGTCTTTTTCCATCGGAAATTCAATTAAGTAAGAATGTTAAATGTTTTGTTGTCATTTGATGATAACGATCCTATTCAGTTATTTTTCTTTTCATGCATTTGAATACACACAGAAACGATTCACTGGATTCGTGATACTCACTACACATAAAAACCAACCTGCGTCACTTATGGCGTAGGCGTGATATCTGTTTGCTGACTAAAGGACGAGTGTACTGTGCAGTAGTTCTCTCCGTCTTACTGTATGGCTGGGAAACGTGGTCAGTGAGAGTAGAAGATATTCGTAGGTTACTGGTTTTTGATCATAGGTGTCTTCGAAGCATTGCTCGTATATCGTGGGACACCTGAGTGAGCAACGCTGTTATTAGGACACGGGTGCTAGGTAAGAATGGCAGATCAATAGATGAATTGGTGAAACTTGATCAGTTGAGGTGGTTGGGACATGTGTTACGTATGTCTAACCACCGACTACCTCGACGAGCTATGTTTTACAATGTAGGACTAGGTTGGAAGAAAGTTAGGGGTGGCCAGACCAAAACATGTCAGAAATCCATGAAGTCACTGACAAGTGGACTGAGCTATGTCGGTAATTGTCGACTACCTGGTTGGGGTCCGCGAGATGATAATAATCGATGGTTAGAGACCTTGAATGACATGGCTCAAAATCGTTCGCAGTGGCGCCGATGCATTTATGCTTTGTGTTCTCTCAAATCCTAATCTTCTGGATTCTTCAACACCTCCAGTTTTGACTTTCTAAACTTTTCTCACTGAATCATACTTCTTGAATAATATCTTCTAATCCTAACCTCTCTGATTACCTCTAATACCTTTACTACCTCTACTACTATTATGGGATTTGAATTGACAATTACATTTCTGCGCTGATGCGGTATGGCGACATCAACTGATGTACTTACGTACGCAGATCTACGTTGCATCTGACTGACTGACTGACACATAAAAACTACATCACATTATGTCAGATAACAGATTTACGACTAACATAGAAAACTAGAATAGCGTTGATTTTAGTGACCCGGTAGCATGACCGCAGAGCCCAATGAACAACTGTCTGAAGCTGGTCACGCATTGCTTTTTAACGTGTTAGCTCCGTTTTTCAAAAGGCCTTACCGACGGAGATGGAAATCCGTGAGGTAAGGTGAAGTGAGACATTTTTTAGTGTCGACCTTTTCTATCCCCTTCCTTCCTTGTTAGAAGGCAGACAAACACGATCCATATAAGGCTGGAAAATTGTGAGACTAGAAGTAGCAAATCGAGGTATGAGATTGAAGTCGTACTGCTGACTGTAGAGAGGTGTGACAGCAGTAAGGTGTTTCCCTCGGATAACCAGCATCTGCAGAGACGCTGCCTTCTAACAAGGAAGGAAGAAGTTAGAAAAGTTCGACCCTAAAACTGTCCAACCTGACCTTACCTCACGGATTTCCGTCTTGGGCGTTAGGGCTTTTTAAACAGGAGCGGAGCTAACACTTGGACTCTGCGCTCATGCTCCCAGATCGCTTAGACCAACGCTAACCCGATTTCCTTTTTAGGTTGCTCAAGAAGTGCCCTTCTACGGTGTGAACATCCAAGGACTGACAACCGTACTCACCACCCGTAAAAGCACACGAGGCTGATTTGTTTGTCACCGGCTACAATGGGAGTGTATCTCCAAATCTTGCTCCACTGTTTATCTTTTTGTCTTGTAGATTAGACATGAAAGTCATAGGTTTGGACAGTTGCCTGTTAAATAAAAATTAATCATCATCTGCTTACATTTCGATCAGCTGGACAGTAGTATCTCATTGTCCCACACACACAAATTTAATGATTTTTATAGATTATTTACTTTTTTGTGGTTAGCGCTTTTTTTGTAGCTGGTTCATTTTCTATGGGATGGGGTCGCCAACCCCCACCCATACTCAACTCTCCTCCCTTATCCAGAGCCCTCAGAGGGGCTCCAGCCGGAGTTCACGATTTGGTCATACTGAAAAAAGCGTTCATTGTGTTGTTGAATGATTTCATTTTTTTCCCCCTGGTATACACAACAAATCGTTTCATATCATAAATTCACTTGTAATACACATCTATCTATCTATCTATCTAATATTTTCATCAACAGACATTTCATCCAATGAAGTGAAACTTGAACAAAAACGTCCAAAATTATTTTCTAAATTAATGAAATCATTAATTATACAAATTAATGCAATTGCTGATTGTGAATTAATCACATCGGCGGCCTATTCAGCATCATCATCAACAACAACTTGTGGACCACCACCACCACCACCACCATCATCAATGGACAAATCATTGACTATGACCACCAAACAACTATCATCAACAGCAGCACCGCTGTCGACGCCGTCGCAGCTGTCATCCGTTGAACAACAACAACAGCAACAATCTTCAAAATCATTTCTATCACGTAAAACTCAATTTAGAATTGTTTATATTGTAAGTGAATTAAATCTTTTTTTTACTAGCAAGTTGAATTGTTTTTTATTGATTTGATTTTGTTGGGGATGTTAGATCCCCAGAACTCACTGAATAAATGCCTTCATTTTGGATTTTACGTTTCCAAGCATGGGCTGACCAGGTGACCTTGAGATCACATTTCCCACCAGGAAAATCCTTAGCTGTGATTGATTACTGTGTCATTTTAGTGTGCTATTTTTGTGACTGTCCAAGGACGTTTCTATGATGTATAAATAAACGAGAGTTGTGTGCTTGCTGTGTGTTTGTAGAATACACTTCCTACGCTATGTCAAGACTTTTTCGTTAGTTGGTTGGGGAAACGGATTAGAGTAGCCTACCGTGTCGCTGGTTCATTGTGTCGTTCTCGTTTATCGACTGAGAAGGACTCGTCATAGTTTCAAGCATATCAATCTGACGACTTACTTACTTACGCCTGTTACCCCCAATACAGCATAGGCCGCCCACCAGCTTTCTCCAACCAACTCTGTCCTGGGATTCCCTCTCCAGTTCTGTCCAATATTTGTTCATTCCTCTCATATCTTTCTCTATTTCTTGGCGTAATGTGTTCCTTGGCCTTCCTCTTTTCCTTTTACCTTGAGGGTTCCATGTGAAGGCTTGTCTCGTGACGCAGTTAGGTGCTTTCCGCAATGTGTGTCCTATCCACTACTATTTTCTCAGGCACACCATAGTGTCGAAGAAGCCTTCCACAGTGTTTTCCTGTCCACGCTATCGAATGCTTTCTCGTAATCGATGAAGTTGATGTAGAGTGGTGAATTTCATTCAACTGATTGTTCCACAATGATCCGTAATGTTGCAATTTGGTCAGTACACGATCGATCCTTACGAAATCATGCCTGTTGATCTCGAAGTTGGGCGTCTACGAAGTCCTTCATTCTGTTTAAAAATACCCTTTTGAAGACTTTGCATGGTATTGAAAGAAGGGTGATGCCTCTGTAGTTCTCACACTTGCTGAGATCGCCTTTGGTATTTTGATCAGGTATCCTTTTTTCCAATCTGATGGTACTTGTTCCTCATCCCAAATGTTCTTGAAGAGGATGTGAAATATTTTCGCAGTTGCTTCTACATCTGCTTTCATTGCCTCTGCTGAAATGTTGTCTGGTCCTGCTGCTTTGCCGTTCTTGATTTGTCTGATGGCCATACTGATCTCCTCAATCGTAGGTGCGCCAATATTAATTGGGAGATCCGTAGATGCTGCTTCGATGTTGGGTGTGTTCAGTGGAGCTGGTCGATTCAGGAGTTCCTGAAAGTGCTCTACCCACCTATTTCGCTGTTGTTCAGTGTTGCTGATTACTTTGCCTTCCTTGCTTTTCACTGGTCGTTCTGGTTTACGATAGTTACCGGTGAGCTTATTTGTAGTTTCGTACAATTGTTTCAAGTTTCCGTCTCTTGCAGCCTTTTCCACCGTCATTTCTAGATCTTCCACATATTTTCGTTTGTCAGCTCTGATGCTCTTCTTCACTGCTCTGTTTGCTTCTGTGTGTGCAACTTGTGCCTTAACTTTCTCTGCTCTTGTTCGGCTGACATTGATTGCTGCCTTCTTGTTCCTCCTTTCTTCAATTTTTGCAAGAGTATCAACAGAGATCCATTCCTTGTGATGGTACTTCTTGTGACCCAGAACTTCATGACATGTTGAAGTGATTGCCTCCTTGATCCCTTTCCAATTGTTCTTCAATGTTGCGTCCTCTCCATTGAGTATATTGTGCTAGGCCTGGAACCTATTGTTGAGGGCTATCCTGAATTCGTTGAGCTTTACAGTATCCCGAAGAAAGGCCGTATTAAACTTGTGTGATGTTGTCTGTCCCGTTGTCCAGTGCTTCTTTAGTTTCAGTTTCATCTTGGCGATTAGCAAATGGTGATCTGAGGCTATATCAGCTCCTCTCCTGGTTCTCACATCCTCCATAGTCCTTCTGAACGTTTTGTTGATACAGATATGATCAATTTGGTTTTGAGTAGTGTGATCCGGTGAAATCCATGTGGCTTTGTGAATGCATTTGTGCGTGAATATTGTGCCACCGATGACCAGTTTGTTGAAGGCACATAGGTTTGCAAATCTCTCACCGTTTTCGTTCCTTTCTCCCAGTCCATGTCGTCCCGTGATGTCTCCATATCCAGTGTTGTCCATTCCAACCTTGGCATTCAGGTCTCCCATAAGAATCGTCAAATCCTTTGGTGAACATTTATCGACGATTGACTGCAGCCTTTCGTAGAATTGATCCTTAACGTCGTCATTGTAGTCATTGGTAGGTGCATAACATTGGATGACGTTCATTGTAATGTCCTGTTTCTTTGTTTTGAAGGATGCTTTAATGATCCTCGGTCCATGAGATTCCCATCCTATCAGTACTTTTTGTGCATGTTTGGACAGCGTTTTTTCGGCAAGTTAGTTTTTGACGGGATGGAGTCGCCAACCCCATGCCCGATCCTCCTCCTTTATCCGGGCTTGGGACCGGCAGTATCCCCGAAGGTTCTACTGGCGGAGTTATCAATCTGATGAGCATAACAGTTATTTTTGTCCGCTTATTACAGTGAGTGTATATATTTTCAGTGATTTTGATTGTGACCAATTTGGTCTCGTGCGCTGTTACGGGTATGAAGGCGGTTGTCACTTCCCGGCTGCCCACACTGTGGGAGGGTGTTTCTTGAGGAACCCGAAAAGAATGGTAGATTAGTGTTGTTCTTGGAGACCTGGGAGCGTGTCCGCAGAGTCCAAGGGACAGCTGCTTGAGGCCGGTCACACACGGCCTTTTTATTAAAGGATTTTTGAATATTAGCTCAGCTCATGAAAGCCCTTAGTGGGCACCCTTACCACCGGAGACGGAAATCCATAAGGTAGGGTGAGGTGTCACAGTTTTAGGGTCGAAATTTTCTAACCCTTCCTTCCTTGTGAGAAGGCAGCATCGCTGCAGATGCTGGTTGTTCGAGGGAAACACCTTACTGCTGTCACATCCCTCTACAGTAGTCAGCAGTACGACTTCGCCGTGAGACCTTGAGTATCTGCTGCTTTTAGTCTCATCGTTCTCCAATCGACTAGTAGTTTCATTTATTGATTCTTGTGTTGTTGTTGTCGTTGTTGACTGCTTACTTACTGATTGATTGATTGACAACATCATCTAGTCATTAGTTTTCCATTTTTCAATCTTTGTCTTTTTCCTTTCAAATTCATAGCCTAATTTCGATACACATTCCAATTGGATAACTTCACAATTGACAACTAGTGGTGCTAGTGGCCGATCAATCAGTACTATTGGCCAACAACAACAACAACAGCCTCATGTTCTTCTACAACCGACATCTACATCGACTGCTGCGACGTGTCTCGAACAACATTCATCTGAAGTCAATAATACTAGTATGTTAAGTACTGGTACTACTACTATGTTGAATACCTCGAATACATCAACTGCTAATATTACAACTACAACTACTACTACTGCCAATACTACTATTGTCAATAATAGTAGTAACAGTAGTAATAATGATAATACTAATACTACTACTACTGCTACTACAAATACTAATCATAATGGTAGTTTATTTCAACAATTATGCTTTGAAACACAATGGGCACGAGCTAGAGCTATATGTGATCAATTGAATATTATTTTAGAAGTATGCCAAAGTCAATCACGTCAATTGTATTATTTACAACAAAAATCTATTCGTTAAATTGAAGCGCACTACTTACTTACTTACTTACGTACTTTACTTTGCTTACGCCTATTGCACTCCTCAATGAAGGAGCATCATAGGTAGCCGACCCATATTTATTCTCGCCAACTTACTCTTGGGCTGGGCTTCCATTTCCAGTTCCGTTTATTCTTCTCATGTCTGTCCCCGTTTCTCGGTCGTGATGTGCGTTCCTTGGCCGTCGCATACATACATACGACATGTATATATAGATCCGTCGTGGTTTCTTTTTTCAAACGAAACTTTTTAAAGATTATTTTTTTGAAATTAACTATTTTAATTTCAGACCAGTTGTTGTATCTTCTTCTTATTTTTTCACAGTGGATCGTGTTGACTAATTGATTTTGTTATTATTGAACTAACTATGTGAAATCGGATGATGAGTATATTCTTGAATTGAAATTTTGACCATAGAATTCATGTGTCTAGTGTTGAAAATCATTGCTACGTTTTCATATGCTTTCACATGTACTAATGAGAATCTTCTAGTTAGCTGTTGGATTTTTTGGTCATTAGGATGTTGTTTTTGACTAAGCTTCAAACTATGCCACTATTGTACTTCATAATCGCGTTATGAAATCATGGATTGGTCAGGGTTATAATACCATTAGAAACCTGGAAATACTGCATGACCGTTTTTTCGTGTTTGCATGGAGATCTGCAGCAGTGCGCATCTATGAACTCCGTTGGCAGGAATGGAGCCCAATCTCTTGTATATTAACACCGTTTGATGCCGGCTGAGTAGTGAGGGAGTGGTCTATGGTTTCAACGTCCATGCACGAAACCGTAGGTCCAAGGTTTTATTTCCTGTGGTTGGGATCATGGGAGTGCGCTGCTAATGACTCCTATACAAGGACTGTCAGTTTTTTAATGGTGGTCTAACAATGATTGATTAATTTTTTTAGTATAGCATTAAATGATTTGGGCTCGTTTGAAGAAATCCAAGTGTATTTAGGGAATGAATGTGTATTTATTATGTAAATGATTTGATAGCCGGATAGACTTCTTCTGTCACTCTTACCTTCTCACCTAATTAGTCAGTTTGAGGATGTAAGAGTTTGCACTTATTGTGTTTAAATCTCCGACATCGACTATCATACCATAATATTTTGTTCTTGTTGATCAGTCACGAATTCCAAGTGAAGTGATAAATGCACAGTTTTATGCCACCGCACACCGGTGTCTTTGACAAGTCAACTTCACCATAAAGAAGTATGAACGGAACATCGTATAAAATTGATTGTATTTAAAAAAATTTTCTAAGCGCGTTAAATCATTCCTCCTAAAAGTGTGTTTACATATGCGCAAAAAGCTTGTCTTGCTTACGAAAATCTTCGATAAATCTTATACTACTGATAAACCATGTAAGTAGTATTACATAACCATATAGAAAATAATCTTGAGGAGAATACAGATTTTTCTGACGGAGGCGGGTTTCTCGATTCAAATAACGTGTGTGCTTCAGCATATATATATATATATATATATATATATATATATATATATATATCAGACGAAATCGTTTTCGATCTTCTGTTTGGTTAATTCCTTTAAAACTAATTAAGGCAATTGGTATATTCTAGTTGATTTCTAATTTCAAACTTTTGTTTTAAAAACTAGAATTATGATCGAATAGTCAGTCAATCGATAGATAGAGAGAGACAGGAATTCATGTGAGTATGTATGCCCACGCTCTCACTCTCTCTGTATATACAAATATTTTTTATGTATGAAAAAGGAAGTTGAACAAATAATCTGAATGAATGAAATTGAAGACAATTGCGTGTATATTATTTATGCCCGGATTGAAGTAATAATTTATTGATTGTCAGTTAGTATTCACAGATAGATCACGCAAATTTAAGGTGGAATAGATAAGTGAGATGAAATTTTTTTCTTAAAATAAAACTAAAAACATTTTTATTTTCATCAAATATTGTCTCATTATAACTAATGTACGAAGATTTTAGAGACCAGATAGAATGAATATATATATATGTTGTATATTTGGAGAAGACGCAGTCTACGTATGGAAATAATGTACACGTAGTCTTCAGATATATATATATATATTTTCAACACTATCAAGTTTTTGATTATTTTCTCTTACATCTCTTCTAATCTTCAAACTGATCTGATCATGATATATACATTTTGATCTGCTGATACTCCTCTATCTAGTAGTGACTTCTAGACTACTCTCCGCTGCACAGTACTTAAATATCACCTTGTGTTTATAGCATCCACCAACCTATGTCTATTTTATAAGCACTTTGTATCACTAGTTAATCTTAGTCCCGACCATAGTTGCTACTTTATCGTGGTGGTCGGGCTTGCCTATCGTGATGACCCAACCGAGCTATGTTGGCTGGAACATATGTTCCTGAAGGTTCTACCATGCCATGCAGGTCGATCGAACAATGATGAGACTAAAAGCAGCTATTTAAGGTCTCGTGATGAAGTCGTACTGCTGACTGTGATGGAGGAGGGGTGTGACAGTAGTAAGGTGTTTCTCTCGGACAACCAGTATCTGCAGTGATGCTACCTTCTCACAAGGAAGGAAGGGTTAGAAAAGGTCGACCCTAAAAATGTCACGCTTCACTTTACTTCACGGATTTCCGTCTCCGACGATAAGGCCTTTTAAACAAGAACGGAGCTGACAATTTAAATACTATCCATAAAAAGGCCGTGCATGACCGGCCTCAAGCTTTTGTCTCTTGGGCTCTGCGGTCACGCTCCCAGGTCGTTAAGTCCAACACTAATCTACCTTCATTTTAAGGTTCCTCAAGAAACACCCTCCCACGGTGTGCGCAACCATAAAGCGACATTCACCCTCACACCGGTATCAGCACACCAGACCAAATCCTTACTACACCCCTTAATGCCTCTCTTATCTCCACGACTAATTCTTCTCACATTCTTTTATCACACTGCACAGCTAATGAAAAAGATTCGAGATCACGAAACATCATTTCTGGTCTCCTGAAACCTCGCTCTATACTACATGTTGGAGCATTTATTGTACGGACATTGTGTCAAATAGGGCAACAGGCTCCGTTTGCTAGAACTTAAGAATCTCGTGCCATCGATGTATGCTGCGCATACAGGATCCAAGTAGCATCATTCACTTGACCTCACCATGTCAAGATAAAGAAGCAGCTCGATTCACCCTTCGTGTATCCGGTAGCCCTGATACTGCTTCCAGGGGTCTCGCTGGTGTAGGTATAGCATTGAGTCGTAGGGCAGAACGATCTTTCCTTGACTGGATCCCAATAGATAGTCGTTTGTGCGCCGTCCAACTAAACGGGACAGTAAGGGTTCGAAAGAATAGGGACACTCGTCGTTGCCTCTTCGTCGTACCTGCATATACCCCCACTGACTGCAGTTCAGACGATGTTAGGCGCTCTGATATATTAATAATGGCTGGTGACTTTAATGCTCAAGTAGGTAGACTAAGTGAAAATGAAAGACACCTACGTGGATGTTATGGTGTTGCGTCTCAGAGAACAGACAATGGTGACCGTCTGTTGCAAGTATGCTCAGATAACCAACTCGTGGGATACGGTGAAATAAACTATTTTTAGGTGTATCTTTTTCCAGAACGATCGTTTCGTTTTCATTGGGGATTCTAGTTATCCGACGAGGATAACGCTCTGAAGTCATACTTCAGTACCAACGGCATTACAATCTTTCAGACAATGAATCTATGGCTAACAAATCTCACCGTCTGACACATCTACTTTGCACATTAGGATTCTAAGGGTATTCTAGCCGATATAGTTCATTTACTTAATCAGGATGGAAAATCGGTTATATAGTGAGCCATTTAGATCTATATCGCCTAACTAGTTGCGATTTACATGACAATCAATCTCTGTCAGCGATTGAAGATATAAAATGAAATGCCTCAAAATTTTTTACAGTGACACACCTACACTTAATCTGTATCTCACTTCAAAATCTTAAGTCCTGTCTTTTCATACTACATTCTTACTATTTAGGTCCTTCTAACTGTCGTCGCTACTGTATTATTTCAATATTGTTTTGTAAAACTCAACTTTATAACTGACACGATGTGACAGATTAGGTGAATACACATTTTCATTATAGAGCTATGGAGGAGATGGTTAAGTTACATTGACATGATGAATCGTTTATTCTTAGACCCCCATTAGAAACCTAGGAGTACTGCGCAGTCGTTTCGTCCTAGAATAGGACTCATCAGCAATGTGCACCCAAGATGCCGTCTCACAGGACTCGAACCTAGGTCTTTTGGTCTCGTGTGTGAAATCCTAACCTCTTGACCACTGAGCTGTGTACACAACTAAAACTGTGCCAACTATCTGATATAAACAAACCACTGCGCCAGTGGCACTCGATGATGTTGTCAATGACTAACTTCAGTCAATCCAATATATGGCGCGTCTATTGTCTTCGATGGTCACGAGGTTAAGCATTTGCACGTTAAACCGAAAGTTCTAGGTTTCATTCCTGCGAGCAAGGATCGCGGATATGCACAGCTGATGAGTTCTACACTGGGACGAAATGGTCGTCCAGATTTCCAATGGTGGTATAACAATGATCGGTTAATTATTCCAAATAATCATAATACACATTTGTTTTTTGATAATGACTGATTGATTGTGTCCTCAACCAGGAAATAACTAGCTGTACTGACAAACATTGTTCAATTAAATCAAGTATAGATTATTGATCTGAAAGTACTTTTATTTTTCTGATTGATTCACACATCAAATTGTAGTAACATTAATGTTGAAAAATATTTTATGTACTAAATACAAATACCATTTAATTTTGATAAACATATAATTAACATTATTATCATTGTGATTAGTTGAAATTAGCTTAGTTTAACGCACTAGTGACCATAATTTTCTTTATGGTCTTTATCAGTCAGTCAGTCAGTTGCAACGTAGAACTTCGTATGTACGTATGTCATTCCAAGTTGCCATACCACCACATTATCGCAGACAGATGGAAGTGTCAATTGAAATCCCACATTGGTAGATGTAGTAAAAGTATTAGCCGTAATGAAGATGATTAGGGTTTGAAGAAATTATTCAAGAGGTATAAGCCAGGTAAATGGATTTAGAAAGAGAAAGATAGAGTTGATGAGGAATTCAGAAGTTTAGAATTTGAAAGAACACAAAGAGTAAATGCACCTGCGCCATTGCAAACGATTCTGAGCCATATCATTCAAAGTCCGTAACCATCGGTTATTTGTCTCGCGGACCCCAACCAAGTAATCTACATCTACCAACATGACTCAGTCCACTTATCAGTGACTTCATGGATTTCTGCCATGTTTTGGTTTGGCCGCCCCTAGCTTTCTTCCAACTTACTGGTAGTCCTCGAATCGATAGCCGGAGTAATAATGAATCAATCCTAGAATAGGATAAAAACGTTACCTAGTACGTTCTAG